TGTGCAGTACGTCAGGCATGGGGCTTGTGCTTGGAGGACGGAGAGACGTTGTCCTCACTGGACACTCAGACGCTTCTTGGGCTGACGACCAGGCTACGCAGCGGTCGCCTCAGGGTTACACCTTCAGCCTTGGCTGTGGTTCAGTTTCTTGGCGTTCTACACGCTCGTCGTCAGTTCTCAGCTCCAGTTGTGAGGCTGAGATCTACGCCACAACCATGGCTGCACAGGAGTTACGCTGGCTCACCTACCTGCTGGCCGACCTGGGAGAGCGGCCTCGTTCTCCTCCAGTGCTGTACGTCGACAACAAGGCCACCATTGCCTTGTGTCAGGAGCACAGACTGGAGCACAGAACGAAGCACATCGCTCTGCGCTACTTCCTTGCTCGAGAGGTGCAGCAGCGTGGTCAGCTTCGTCTTGCTTACGTGGCCACTCGGGCCAACACTGCTGATGTGTTCACCAAGGCGCTTCAGCCTTGTGACCATCAGCGTTTCTGTACTGTTCTAGGCCTTGTGCCTACTGTGCCTCACTTGCTTACTGCTTGACTCTGCTTGTACTGTGATCTCTATATATATATATACCTGCATGCTTACACTTGCTAGGTTGTGATCACTGTACCTCTTGTTATATTATTAAACTGCATGTGAACTGGTCTTGTGACCGCTTGCTTGTGCTCGGAATTTGTGTGGTTTCCTTGAGATCCACCCTGAGCTTGCTTTGCTTTGCTTTGACTGGTCTTGTGACCATCTGGTTATCTCCCACTTAGCCTATGGGGGTGTGTCAAACATTATACATGTTCCTATTGTGTAGGCTATAGTGGGTTTAGCCTTAGGGGGTACAACATTGCTAGGGTTTCCTACTTGTATCACCCTGCTGCCTAGTTTCACTCATTCTCGTTCACTTCTAGTTTATAACAGCAGGATCTGATTGCTATTTTGTCAGCCGAAGCCTCACCGCCAGTGCAGCTGTTCGCGAAGGACTATACCTGATGGAGCTCCTGCAGGAAGCGAAAGTGACGATGCACGGGCACTTCAAGTTACTCTGCGACAGCCAAAGTGCAATAAAGATCGAGAACAATCTAGGCTTCGTGAATGGCACGAAGCACATCGCACTCCGTTACTTCTTCGTCAAGGACGGGATTGACAAAGGAAAAGTCAAACTGAACTATTGCCCGACTGGTGACATGGCAGCGGATTTTCGGACGACAAAGCTGCCACGTCAGAAGTTTCAGCACTGCGCCAACCTCTGCGAGATCTCAAAGAAATTCCACATGGCTGACCTTCAGGAATGAAGGGGAGTGTTGGAATAACCAAGGGTTATTATAACGTTCCCGAAGGTTCTCCCTAGCGCACCTCTTCATAACAAAGCAGCGCACTTGTACTAGTACCGCGTTTGCTCGTATAGAGCACGCGAAGGTCAACAGCCACGCGAAGGTCAACAGTCGCGGGAAAGTCTGTCTGAATGTTATATTATCTAGCCTGCAGTGGGGTGCTCTATAGCGAGTACAACCCAGTTAGGGTTTGCTATTTGTATCCCAACTGCTGCTAGTAAACCCCCTCTTTCTTGTTTCTAACTTTCTACTCGTACTTCTGACATGGTATCAGAGCAGGTCGACCCCCTTGGGTCGATCCTGTGGGTGGGCCCACCACCTAACTGGTTCCGCTGCTCTACTGCTGTCGCGCGCCCCGGGCGCGTGACCCTTTGTTCCTGCCGCACGCCCGGAGCGCGCGGCGTCTTTTCATCCCGCCGCGCGCTCGGGGCGCGCGGCGGTTTTCTGCCCGCCGTGCGCCCCGAGGCGCGCGGCGGTTTCCTACCATGGGGGACCCGCGCGCAGCCCCCGCCCTGTCCGTCGCGCTGCGCTGCCCCCCGTCGCCCGTCGCGGCGTCTTCAGGGGGCCCGCCCGCTGCCCCCTCCCGTCACTCGTCGCGGCGCCCCGGAGGCCAGCGCGCCACCCCCCCCCGTCACCCGTCGTGGCGCTCTCGTGGGGGCCCGCGCGCCGCCCCCTCCCGTCGCCTCGTCGCGGCGCCTTGGGGGCCCGCGCGCCGCCCCTCCCGTCGCCCGTCGAGCCGCCCTCGGGGGCCCGTGCGCGGCCCCCCTCCCGTCACCCGCCGTGGCGCCCTCGAGGGGCCTGCGCCCTGCTCCTTCGTGGCGCCCAGGAGACCCCCCCGCCTCCTCCCTTTCCCTCCGTGAACCGCCCCTGCTGCTCCTGCCTACGTTAGGGTTTGGGGGTGGCGGGCATGGGGGTGAACGGTGTGGGTAACCTGCAGCTCCTCCTCCTCCTCCGTCTCCCACTGCTGCAGCTGCCGCTGAGGGGGGTGGGTGTGTGGGAGCCGAGGGTTTAGGGTTTAAGGGGGGTGACGTGGGAGTGGAGTTAGGGGTGAAGCAGGGGGTGTGTGTCATGGGGGTGGGACTGTTTGGGGAGGCTAAGAGGAGGCTGCCGTCGTGTCGTCCGCAGCGCCTGTATTCCGGGGCACTTGCTCCCGGTAGCTCAGAGAGCCTGCTGCACCTGTCGCCCGTGGGTCCGTTGTTCCTGCCGCTCGTCGCAGCCGCAGAGCCTGTTACTCCTGTATTCCGGGGCACTAGCTCCCGGTAGCCACTGAGTCGCAGAGCACACTCCTGCTGCCCGTGTGTCTGCAGCTTCAGCCGTCGTCTCCTATCTTCTTTTCCCTTACGGTTCCTCCTCCTCCTCACTTGCCCTTTGTGGTTGCCTCTGGCTTTGCTTATTATTTGTGAACTCTATGAACTGCTGCTTGCTGTGCTGATTACACCCCACTTTGGCTATGGGGGTGTGTCAGAATGTTATATGATCTAGCCTGCAGTGGGGTGCTCTATAGCGAGTACAACCCAGTTAGGGTTTGCTATTTGTATCCCAACTGCTGCTAGTGAACCCCCTCTTTCTTGTTTCTAACTTTCTACTCGTACTTCTGACAAAGTCAATGGTTGCGACTGTTGACCGCCCTGCAAATATAATCGGAGGTTACACGCTGCAACTGCAACTGCAACGGAGGTAATCGGAGGTAACTGTCGAGTATCGCAATAGTCAGGGTAATTGTAGCAATGCAAAACCGTTAATACGGGAATGTACCCCTCATAGTAAATGGCTAGCTAGGAATGCTATATGATTCTCTTATAATGCTATCTTTATCATCTTGTTCTCTTTCAACTTATTATAAACAAGGCCACCCAAAGACTTCATTGTCTACTTTCATTTGGCTAGCTTTATCCTATCCACTACGATTCCTTGGTTATATCAACAGCGGCTACCACACACAAGTGCAGTGATGATAAAGCTTATGTGGAACTGCATGTAACTTGCATTGTAATAATGTAATGAGATTATGAAATGATGATGACGCGCATGTGGAATGTCCAATTCATCAGCCCGCTAGCCAAAAACCCGGCAGGTTCTTTGTACAATCGTACCATGAAACATATGGAAGCAAACTGTTGCAATCACCGAAGGTATTTTAGCGTTTGAGAGGTATGGCCGCAACTCAATCATAAAGCCACACAATCACATTCACTCATATTTTGACAACAGGGAGGTGAAAAGTCAATAGTCGTATGTCAAACTGTACACCAAAGTGTTGACTGACCCTCAGAGGTTACGCGCTGAATGTGATAATTGTATGACATCGCAATAGTCACAGTCACTGTATCGATAACCGTAATATACGAAGTAACGTATGCAATGTTTCTTTTACCTTGTTATTTACATCCACTATGACAAGGCCTTCGTAACACTTCCGCTGCCTATTCAAAGTCTCCTTATCATGTCCAAACGTATCCCGGATAATTGGAACATAATATGAGAGCGATGCTGGAATATAAGGGCTGCCCATAAGTTCTTATGTTAAAGTATGTATTTGTATGGTAGGCTATAGTGAGGCACTTTGTAGGGAGGATAACACTTTTAGGGTTAGGCATATGTACCAACATTTTATCAACCCAATTCATTCCGCTGTTTCCAACTCTGAGATGGTATCACGAGTAGGATCTAGATCCTAACCTAGCCTCGCCTCGCCCCGCCCCGTACCCGCCCCTTACCTTAGAAACGCCTCTTACCCTAGCCTCGTTCCGGTCCTAGCTCGTACTCGCCCCGCCCCTAGCCCGCTTACGCGCGGCCCGCTCGCGCCACTTACACGCGCAGCAACAGCCCGCGCGCACGCCCTACAGCGCCGCCCACCCGCGCCCTGCCTGTCTAGCGCACGGCACCCGCCCCTACCCGTCCCGATCACTGCCCTGCCCCGCACTGCCCGCTGCCCCGCACTGCCCGCTGCCCAGCTCCGCCCCACCCCCGCAGTAGGAGCTGTGCGCACTGCTGAGCAGCGCGCCCAGATGTGCACACTACAGCGCGCTCAGCAGCGCGCACGCAGGCAGCGCGCACAAGCAGTACACAGAGCAGCGCGCACAGCAGCGAGCGCACAGGCAGCACGCACTGCAGCTACGCGCGTCTAGGCTGCGCGCGCCCAGGCCCCGCGGCCCCCTATTTTAAGGCCCTGCGGTCCCCCATTTTAAGGCCCCGCGCCCCCCCGTTTAAAGACCCTGCGGCCCCCTGTTTTAAGGGCCCGCGGCCCCCTTTTCTAAGGCCACGCGGACCCCCGTTTTGAAGGCCACGTGCCCCCCCGTTTTAAGTCCCCACGGCCCCCTGTTTGAAGGCCCCGTGGCCCCCTAATCTAAGGCCACGTGCCCCCTCATTTTAAGGCCCCACTGTCTCCGGCTAGAAGGCCCCACGGCCTAACATGCACCCGACCGCTTCCGCCCGCACTCCACCGCATTGAAATGTACCTGACCGCTCCCCACTGCGCTAGACTGCACACAACCGCACTTACCCGCACGTGCAGCCCTTTCCAAAACCCTATTTCCACTGGCGTTCCACCCGTATCGGCTGGCAGCCTCCCGAAATTCAATATGCACCGCTACAAAGACAAAAGTATCACGAAACGAACATAGCTAGGAACCGGGGTTTACTAAGGGCCTAGGCTTAGAAGCCTAGGCCAAGCATGTCGCGCGGGTTCAGTGCAAGGAGAAATGTTGAGAATGGGTAGTTCCCTAATGAGAAAACAACACAACATATAGGTCAAAGCAAAGGTGCACCACCAACATCAAGGTAACATAACTACACTAAAGCTAAAGCTACAAGCGGTTATAAATATATATATGTATAATATATATCGCGACACACCCCCTAAACTGCGTGAAGCACATAGCTAGAGGAAGTCACACCCCCTGAAGGGGTATAGTTGGCGCAGTGGAAGACGGCAGAGAGGTAAGTGAGGAGGAGGAGGCGAGAGGGTGAGAGGAGAGCAGAGGAGATAAGAACGAAGGAGGAGGTGAGTGAGGGATGAGGAGAGGAGGTGGGGGGGTAGCCGCGGCAATCCCCTCTTACTAACCCCCTTTTACGAAGGTGGAGGTGAGTGAGGGATGAGGAGAGGGGGTGGGGGGGTGGCCGCGGCGATCCCCTCTTACTATCCCCCACATCCCCACCCCCAATCAACCACCCCCCTTTAACCTCACCCTCCATTTCAGCCGCCACATGGAACCGCACTCCCTCCCCCCTTTCCTTCCTCCAGACCCCTCCCCACCCACGGTGGTCCCTGCACAGTCCTTCACATGGCAGCCAGCCCCCCCACCCCCCTGTCCCCGCCACCTCCTCACACAGCAGCAGCCGCGGGAGGGGAGAGGCAGGGCAGAGGGTGGTGCTGCAGTGGCTCACGGGGGCCACCTCTTCCACGCCACCTCCCCTCCCACAGCCGCAGTCGCGGAAGGGAAGGCGACGGGGGAGGGGGAGCGGTGGGTAACGGGTGGGGTGCGCTTGAAAAACGGCAGGTGGAGCAGGCGATGGGGGAAACGGGGCCGCGTGGCGCGGACCGGGTGAGTGCTGGGCACGGACGGTCTGGCGCTGACGGCGGTTGATGGCAGGTCCGACGGCGGGTTCGTGGGCTCACTTGAAGGAGGGTTCGCGGGTCCGCTGGCTCGCTTGCTGACGGGTCCGCGGATCCGTTGGCTCTCTTGCTGGCGGGTCCGCGGGTGAACTCGGGCAGGGGTCGCAACGAGCAGGACGGGGGGCTGTAACGGCGGGGCGCGACAAGCGCCCTCGCGCAGCTTGTCGTCCCTAGCGTAGCAGCAGCGAGACGTCGAACCGGTGGGGCGACGGGCGAGTGACGGGCGGGGCCTGCGATGCGCGTAACGGGCTGCGCAACGGCCTGATCGACGGGGCGCGCCATAGCGACTGGTGGTGGGCCCGTTAACTTAGGTGTAGGATCTTAATAGCTCTGATACCATATCACGAAACGAACTTAGCTAGGAACCGGGGTTTAGTAAGGGTCTAGGCTTAGAAGCCTAGGCCAAGCATGTCGAGCGGGTTTTGTGCAAGGAGAAATGTCGAGAATGGGTTGTTCACTAATGAGAAAACAACACAACATATAGGTCAAAGCAAAGGTGCACCACCAACAGCAAGGTAACATAACTACACTACACTAAAGCTAAAGGTAGTTATAAATATATATAAAATACATATCGCGACAAAAAGAAGGGGGTAGTTTCGAAGTGCACATAGATAGGGTTTGATTCCTATTGGAGGCACAGAATTGTTCTCACATGAGACTCCAATGAACCACACATGAGACTCACACGAAACATTTATGAGACCTTCATTGGACCTTCATGATACTTACATGAGACCTTCATGATACTTACATGAGACCTTCATGAGACCTTAATGAGAAGTTCAGGAGACTTTCATGAGCATATTATAATACATTTTGTAAGAGTCTAGAAAAGCTTCCTGTCATAATCAGGAAACAGTAATGATTGACTAAAGCAGGATGAGTGGTACAAGTAGCAACCCTAACAAAGGGTTGTACCCCATAGGGAGTGACCCACTACAGCCTAACATCACTAACATGATATAAACATGTTTTGATACACCCCCATAGGCAAAGTGGGGACAACAAGGGGTCACAAGACCAATCAAGAGAAGAATCAAAGCAAAGCAAAGCCCAGGATGGATCACAAGGTCACCACGCATTCTGAGCACAAGCAAGCGGCCACAAGGCCAGTTCACATGCAGAGTTTATAGTAGCAAAGAGCAGTACACTGATCACAACCTAGCAAGTGTAAGCATGCAGGTATACTCATATATATCAGTGTACAACAAGAGCAAGATCAAGAGACAAGCAAGTGAGGCAGAGTGGGCACAAGCCCAAGAGCAGTGCAGAAACGCTGATGATCACTAGACCCAAGGGCCTTGGTGAAAACATCAGCAGTGTTGGCCCGAGTGGCCACGTAAGCAAGACGAAGCTGACCACGCTGCTGCAGCTCTCGCGTGAGGAAGTAACGGAGAGCAATGTGCTTCGTTCTGTGCTCCAGTCTCTGGTCCTGACACAAGGCAATCATGGCCTTTTTGTTGACGTACAGAACTGGAGGAGAACGAGGCTGCTCACCCAAGTCGGTCAGCAGGTAGGTCAGCCACCGGAGCTCCTGTGCAGCCATAGCCCCAGCGGAGATCTCGGCCTCACAGCTGGAACTAAGTGCAGAGGAAGAGCGAGTGGACCTCCACGAGACAGAACCAGTGCCGAGGCTAAAACTGTACCCCTGTGTCGACTGGTGAGTCGTCTGGTTGTCAGCCCAAGAAGCGTCTGAGTGACCGGTGAGAACAACTGGACCCCGTCCTCCAAGCACAAGCCCCATGCCCGATGTGCTGCACAAGTAACGCAATACCCTCTTCGCAGCATCCGAATGCATCTTTCGATGCATACCGGGAGCCACGTAGCAAGCCAGGAGGCTGAGAGGGTACGCGAGGTCAGGTCGTGTGCACGTCATCAGGTACATGAGGCAACCCACAAGCTCTGGATACGGACCACTCGGCTCTACGGACTCGTCCGAAGGTGGAGCTGAGAGCGAGTGGCCGGTAGACAGAGGAGTGGGCTGTGGCGAGGACCACGTGAAGTCGAAGCGCTGAAGGACCTGCTGCACCATGTGTGACTGAGTGAGGGTGATGGTGCGCTGTGTTCTGTCCCGGGTGATCTGCAAGCCAAGGTAGCTCCGCAGCTCACCCAGGTCACTGCAAGTGTGTCTCTCCTGCAGCTCCGCCTTCACCAAGGCCAGAGTCTCAGTGTCAGCAGTAGCAAAAACCAAGTCGTCAACGTACACAAGAACGTAGAACGGCGGCAGAGAAGTGTCTGTGCGCAGAAACAGCGAAGGGTCAGCAGTCAAGGGAGCGAAGCCAAGAGCCGCAAGTGTAGTCCTCAGTGTGTCGTGCCACTCGCGAGGTGCCTGTCGGAGGCCGTAGACTGATCACCGAAGACTCCACTGGGTACCCTCAGGAAACGACCCAGTGAAGCCACGTGGACGGCGCAACCAGATAGCCTCGTGAAGGCTATCCTGCAAGAAGGCTGTCGAGAAGTCGAGGGAGTGCAACTCGTAGTCACGCTGTGCTGCAACGTGCAGTAGCACCCGAAGAGTGGTCATCTTTGGGGTGGGGGAGAAGGTCTGAAAGAAGTCGACCCCCGCACGCTGAGTGAAGCCTCGAGCAACGTAACGCGCCTTGAAGACAGGCGGAGAACCCGGCGGCCGCTTCACCCTGAAAATCCACATGCCATCGACTATGTTCGCCCCACGTGGGGGAACCTCGTCGACGTAGGTGCCTGTGGACTTCCAGGAAGCCATCTCTGCGTCCATGGCTATCTGCCACAGAGAGGAGTATGGACCCGTAATCGCCTCTGCGTAAGTGCGTGGGGTCGGGATGTCTGGTGCATCCGGGTCTCCCTCAGGGCAAAGTAGCGAGGACGCGAGATGCGGTGAAGCGGCCGCGGGACACTCCAGCTCAAACTGCCTGTCCTCAAGAACGTCACAGCCAAGGGCAAGCTCACCCCCGACAGATGGAGGACAGGAAGAGTCAAAGACAAGACTCGCAGCGTAGTCAAGGCGGCACAAAGCGGCAAAGTCAACAAGCTCAGTGACTAAGGCAGACGCAGCAGCAGACTCAAAGGAAGGGTCAGTCACAACTGTGGCAAGGAGACGAGTGACAGTCGGACTGGCAGCACGAACAAGGTCTGACTCAGGGTCAGGAACGTGAGGAAGAGAGGACGCAGGAGGAGAAGGCAAGACAACACGCTGAGGAACAGAGGAAGGACGAAGTGCCATACGGTGAGTGCCCGGCACAGCGGGAGCACGAGGACGGACAACACGACGACCACGAACAGGGGTGGAAGCACGAGTCTCAGGCTCACAACGCTCAGGAGTGGACGCTCGAGTCTCAGGCTCACGACGCGCAGTCAGGGACGCAGTGACCTCAGTGTGAGGAGCAGGAGCAGGCAGCGGGGAGCCAGGCAGTAGCTGAGGCTGAGACTGGTCAGTCGGTGGGAACAGTAACGGAGGAGTAGTATCAGGAACCGGGAACTCAGTAGCAGCAGGTGGGAGACTGAGAAGGCGACCAAGCGCAGACAGCTGCGGCTGAGTAGTCGCACCCCTAGAACCTCCCGTTCCAGTAGCAACAGCACCCCCAGAACCAGTGCCTCTGGCTCCAGTAGCAACAACACCCCCAGAACCACTAGAACCTCCAGCTCCAGCAGCTCCAGCACCTCCAGCTCCAAGACGGCTAGCTCCACCACCAGGGCTGCCTCACAGGACAGCCCACTCGCGTAGCCGCTCCGGCGAGAGAGCCTCCTGCCGACCAGCACCACGAACTCCAGTACATCCAACAGCACCTCCAGTAGTACCTCCAGTGTCAGCACCTCTAGTACAGCCAGTGGTACCTGCACCTCCAGCACCTCCAGCAGCGCCTGTACCTCCAGTACCAGGAACACCAGCACCAGCACCTCCAGGGCTAGCACCTCCAGAACCTGAACCTCCAGCACCTCCAGCAGCACCTGTGCCTCCAGTAGTAGGAACACCTGGACTAGCACCTCCAGGGCTAGCACCTCCAGAACATGCAGCTCCAATACGTCCAGCGCCACCACCAGGACTGCCCCAACGGACAGCCCACTCGCGAAGCCGCTCCGGCGAGAGAGACGCCTGGCGATGTGCACCAGGATTACCCGCAGCAGCACCCACAGCAGCAGCACCTCCAGTACCTCCAGCTCTAGGAGAGCGAGCACGGCTAGCTCCACCACCAGGGCTACCCCACTGTACAGCCCACTCGCGAAGCCGCTCCGGCGAGAGAGTCGCCCGCCGACGTGCAGCAGTGCCATCAGTACGAGCAACCACAGTACCACCAGTAGCAGAACCTCCAGCTCCAGCAGCTCCAGCACCTCCAACTCCAAGACGGCTAGCTCCACCACCAGGGCTGCCCCACTGGACAGCCCACTCGCGCAGCCGCTCCGGCGAGAGAGCCTCCTGCCGAATCGTAGCAAGACCACCAGCACCAGTACCTCTTGTACCCAGAAGACCCTCAGCACCCCCAGAACCAGCACCCCCAGAACCAGCACCCCCTGTGGTACGACCTCCTGCAGCACCAGAGTCCACAACAACAGGCTTCAGCGGCGGTGAAGACGGTCGAGGCGGAAACCCAGGAGGGACAGCCAAGCGTGCAGAGCGGCAAAGGGTCACTGTGGCAGCAGGAGCCGGGTCACCCCCCTCAGCTGGGCCAGAGGTGCCTGAGGAGACCTCCAAAGGCTCAACCAAGGGGGGTGGGTCTACCTGAGACACACCTGAGGGAGCGGGACCGTGAGGAGGGAGGGGGGCTACCGGGGGGGGGTCGTCCACCAGGGTGAGAGGGGGGAGGGGTACCGGGGAACTGCGGTGGGGGTGAAGACAGTAGAAGCACACGGACTCGTCAAAGGTCACGTCCTGGAAGGACAGCACACGACGAGAGCCCGGGTGGTAAAACTGCCAGGGCGGTGCGTCGGTGGGGAAGCCAAGAAACACGCACCGAAG